TCTTGGTCACTTATATAAAATAAAAACACATCTACAAATACAAGTGTTGCATACCTGCAGGCGCCCTGCTAGTTTTTTGACGTACTTTATATGGTAAATCTGTGGCCATTGTAGTCTTCAATACCTGGCTTGAAATCTTAAAAAATTAACCAAGCCGTGGCTGCAGATTTTCAACAATTAGGGCATTTCAGTCACAACAAAACAGTTTTATTGTTGAATTTCGTATAAGCTTTTGTTGTAATAGGTTAATTATAAAAAATTATGCTAAAATTAGGATTTCAAAAGCTACAGAAAAAAAATTCGACTTGGCAAAAATGATGAAATCTATGTATGTATATTGCAAGTGTTAAAAAAAATATATTTTTTTTTATAATATATAGGACAGTTAAGCGATATTTAGTTAGGCTGAGGAATTTTTTACACAAAAACAATCAAATTAAATTTAAATTAAATAAGACAAAAAAAAATTAGCTAACAAATTAAAGTCCGTTAAACTGAAAATTTTAAAAAATTCTGCATTTGGCTATTTAAATATTAAAATAAAAAAATATATATAAACAAGTTTGAACATTGCACAAAAAGAAGTAATGAGTACAATAAAAAATAGATATATGTGTCAACAAATATTAGGAAATTTTTTACTTAGCGCGATATTTACAAAATTATAAACAAAATTATCACAATTAACAAAAGCGCGGATAGTATGAAAATTGCAGCCCACTGACGTTTATCTGTGAAGAAGAAATAAATAAATAAATAAATGTACGCAATAATCAATTTCAATTCATACAATTACAAGCGTCGCACACTCACCATTATTCATGTGCAATACTTTGGCAACTCTTTTCATTGTTGTATCCAATTTGGATTCCGTTGTATCGAACTCATTACCAAAATCATCGAGCATGCTGTAGAGATGAGAAAATAATATTGAATATTATTATTTACATACACAGTAGAGCTTTATTACAACATTTCGAAATAGTTGTGACTTACACAGCCTGCTCGTCCAACTCCACGCCAATCTGTCGTGATACAGTCTTTAACGTTCCAATGGAATCACTTATCATATCTAGTTGTTCATCTTGTCCCTGCATCATGCGCTGCTGCACCGATACCGTTTCGCCCACGTAACGATGCCCCGGACTATCCAACGATGCATAATGACCCGGACTATCTACGGTATTTTCCAATTTGGAGTACTTTGTACCGCTGTGACGTTGTGCCGCTGCTGCCATTGTACCGGCAATTGTATTGGCCACACCGCTGCCTGCGCTGCTGATCAAAGAATTCTGCTGTAAGAGACCACTGCCGCTGCCAATGCCACCGTTCGTACACTCAACCAAATAGGTTTTATCACTGATACCGTGATGATGATGATGATTATGGTGCTGCTGTTGCTGTTGTTGTTGTTGTTGTTGTTGTAGTTGATTATGATTATTGTGATGATTAGTACTATTTAGGCTGTTGTTGTAGTTGTTAATATAATTACTATTGCCGTTCTGATTATTTTGATGATTAATTTCGTTATGATTGTGTTCATCAAGTAGTGGTTGATGTGCCGTTATATCTCTGTCCCTGTTTCGATTCAGGCTCATCTTCTCTTTCATCTGCCGGACTTCATCGCGTGTATTGTCGATGAAATGCCGACGACTCAAAAGCTCACGATTATCAATGCGAAATTTGTTCGGATTCTTTTCAACTATACGTGCAGTCGGCGGGTTAAGGAAGACCTTCTATTAATTAATTTGGTCTAGTGGGTGTGCATAAGTAGTGTACATATGTATGTTTGTATATAAAGTTGTGTAGTTATTATAAAAATGTAGGAAGTAATGTACGGAAGTGCACAAAGAGAAATATGATCTATATGCATGTGTTAATTCATTCACACACTGCCCATGGGAGACTGGTCAGCTTAGCAGAAAAGAACTTGAAAGGTATATACATACAAATATACATATTTACATATATGCAATGCAACATACGGGCAATGAGAAGAACAACAACATGAAGTTAGTTTCAGAAATATTATGATCTTATCACATCGTAAATCTGTAACATATTTACATATATAGAAAATAGAGGTATAGGAAATATACTCCGAGCACTACCCAATTTTACCCAGTACTTAATATACGCTATGTTTGCCTTGAAATTTCCGATGCACAGAAGAAAACGTCGGTGACCGTAAAAAATATATATATAAATAAATAATCAACATGACGAGCTGGGTCGATTTATTCATATCCGTCCGTCTGGCCGTCTGTCTGTATATATGCGAACTAATCACTCAGTTTTTGAGATATCGATCTTAAATTTTGCACACGTCCTTTTTTGCTCAAGCAGCTACTCATTGGTATGAACCGTCGATATCGGACAACTATAGCATATAGCTGCCATACAAATTGAACAATCAAAAACAAGTTCTTGTATGGAAAACTTTTATATTTGACAAGATATCTTCATGGCATGAATTTGGCATGAAATATTATTCAAGACAACAGTACAATATCTGAACAAATTGATCAGATCGGATCACTATAACATATAGCTGTCATACATGTTGAACGATCAAAATCAAGTTCTGGTATGGAAACTTTTGTATTTACGAAGGGTATTACAGCTTCCCTGCAACCGAAGTTAATATTTTTTCTTGTTTTTAAATATTTAATTTTTTTCAAATACAAGTAACATTATTCAATAAACAGAAATTATGAAGCATTCTCCTTAAAAAAAAAAAACGTTATATATAAAAAACATCTATCTTTTGCGCTGCCTCAAATACCAAGTCAATAATCATAATTCAACTATATCTTAGGGTTAAACATTATCATAATCATTCACCTAGAGGACAGACCTATAAAGCCAATGGACATCAGGTTTCAACATGTGAACCAATAATGACTAAGGAAATTTATGTTACCGTTGTAAAGAGCTTAAAAGTTGTAAAAGATAGTGCAGCAATAAAACTATAACTGATAAAAAATCGATATATAGCGGTGCACCGAAAAAAATATATTTATATATAAGCTATAATGATAAGCATTCATACGCATTTGCAATTATTCAATGCGGTTAAATTGAAATTGATTTTTCAAAAATTCCTGTCGGCATTTGCACTATTAGAGGCTATATACATGTAAACACATATACTTGCATACCTAAAGTACCTAAGTATAGCTTTGTTCATCGGTTCAGTGCTCATGGACTATGTCAGCTAATCTATTTGCATAGCTGACAATTTAGCGCGTCGAATAAACAATAGAAATGTCAATATTTGCATTGCTTAGCTAAGATTATGCGACCAATATGAATATGAAAGCTATATGCAAACTTACCAACATACACACACATACATATGTTACTTGCAACTAAATCGCAATTGTACACACACACACAGATGTGTATATATTTACAGAATTGTGAATTTGTGGCATTTGTGTTATTTAAAAAAGGATATTAATTGTGTCCTCCAAATCTTCCAAGTCCCATTCAATGCTACGCAATGAGTTTCTTAACTCGGTTGTAGTCCATTCAACTTCAGCGCTGCCGCTACTATCGCTCAACTCGCGCCAACGCAAATATAGGCCGCGAGTTTTATTTAATGCTTTGAACACCTCGCTACCAGTGGTCAAAAGCGCCCACACAGCCATTAGTAAGTAGTTAGTTGATCCGGCAAATCAAAACCACCACCAGCGCCAACCGCAATTCAATTTAAATAAATAACAGCGTAATAGGTATGCCACACATTACAAGCGGTATTGAGAAATATGGAATTTAAGAGAAAAAAACATAGCATAGTTGTAAAATTTGATTATTTTTAAAAACATATTAAGTGTATGCTGTGTAAAAAATGTAGTAAAATTATTTACGCACTCCTTCACCACGAAGAATGGATCTTCTAGAGACATGACCCAGGTCTGTCGTATATATGCGCTGATTCCAATACTGCAATGCGCGTTTATACGGCGAATTTACTGAATTTAAACAAAATGCTGCTTTTCAATGCTCTAGCTTTATGCTTGCAATGTCAACGCAAATGTTTGTTTTTGTTTTTAGATTTTCTATTTTTTGAAATTTATGAGTGCGGCTTTTTTTTGTTAGTATGTTTTCCCCCTTTAAGGTTTGTGAAAACTTTTATAGATTTTCCTGACGCATGGGTGACGTGCACATCACATATATAAGTATGTAAGTATTTACATACATGTACGCGCAACACTTTAGACCCACTTAGTCGTAATCAGCTATATAAACGTTTTTCGTTTTGTCTTGAAATTAATAAATTTGTTATTCTTTTCCACACATCAATTTACAAACAATTATTTTCTTTTCCTCTTTATTACGGAAGCTTATATTACGGTTTTATTTTCGCGTTAACAATCTAAACACTTTTAGTATACATAGCAACACATCAGTCTCTTAATGCCGTTTTCTTTAAGCCTTCTTGTTTGATAGCTGATGTATCGGTAAAAATATTTTCAGTAATTTTTTGTTGCTTCACCCTTTGGCCATTGGAATTTCGCAACATTTTTCACTTGCTTCGCCGTGGTTTGAATAAATTGCACTTGAAGCACTTTTCCAAGTTGTTGTGTGTGGAGAAATGTTATATTTTCTTTTCTGCTGTTTCACAACTCTTTTAAAAATATAAACGAATACGATTCGTATGACCGTGTATTTGTGCTGTACGTTCTGCTATCGTCCGCGTTCTTAGCTAACTAAATTCTTATATCTCACACGCATTTTCCGTTTAGAACCATCCACCAGCGGTGTCATATACATATATAGCACCCCACTGTTTATATGCTTTTGGAGCTAGCGCGCGCATGACTGTGTGGGTATGCACATATATTGGTCTATATCAATGAGTTGGTAGCGAAATTCTGTGTGCATAAATATATACTTTGACCCATTGCCTTCCAACCACCCCATGGTCAGTGCATTACAATGCGTGCGAAAATAACATTTCACCTATTTATACAAAATGTGGCCTCACTTACAAGCTTTTATTACATATAATTGCATGTTATTGATTCAAAATACATTACCTTATTTATATATGTGATTTTCTAAAGTATTTACCTTAAAATTAATAAATAATTTTTTTGTGACTCCTTCCTACTGCTGCGGCTCGTTTTCACTTTCGCGCTACTATTTAATCATGCCGTTTTGTGATCTCTCCCGAAGCGTGTTTATATTTTCTAAATTGCCATTGAGTCTGCGCCGGAAAATGCTTTGTTTTTCCTCTTCTCCTTCAACAATAATTTTCAGAAAATTTCTAACTTTTCGCGTAGTTGTGTTTTTGTTATGACATAAGAATTGTCAAATTGGCTAAACGAAATGGTTGCCACTGCAAAGCAATTTCTGCCTAAATTTGTTAATTTAGGGGTATGCCGAGAATATTTAATAATTTTTAAGCTTAAGTAGCTTGTTGATATTCCAAAGAACTAAATAAGTTGCAAGACACGTACATCAATTTAAAACATATTTTCTAACATTTTTATGTATCATCGGTAATACACGAGTTAAAAAAAAAATACACAAATACATTTTTAGAACCTAAAACTTACAGTTCAAAGAATATTTTCAATTATTTTGTTATACATGCATTAAAATATTAAAAAATTTATTAGTATTTGAAATAATTTTTTTGTATTTTTTAATCTCGAAGTTTTTAATTAAAAATAATTTTTTAACTTTTAGTCTCAAATATAGGAAAAAAAATCCAAATACGGGAATGGAAAAGAAAATTATAATCCCCAAAAATGTTTCAGTTTAATTTTAAAATTTTTAATCTCAACATCGAAATTGAAAGTTGAAATTTTAATTTATAAGTAAAGCTGTTGGTATTACAAATTTAAATATAATTTTCAGACAAAATTTTTGAATTAAATTATTCGCAACCCTGATTTTCATATAATTCTCATAACATACAAAACTAGCAAAGCGCAAAGCGTTTGAAATAATATACTTAAAGTAACTGTAATGCAATATTTTTAAAATATGATTTCTTGTTACAGTCTATAAATATTTATTTTCCATCTTTGAGCGTAGATCTGTCATACGCCATTCATGTTCTTCTTCCATTTGCTTTATGCGAAGCTGATACTCGGTTCTTTGCTGGAATTCACACCTTTGATATTCTATTTCTTTTGAAACACTGGTTTTTTGCAATTCAATGAGTTCCAATTTTGCCGCAGTCAAATTTTGTATTTTAGATTTGTCACTTTGAAGATTGTTTGTTGTTTTTTTCAGTGTAGATATACCAGCTTGCAGATTGAATGCGGATGATTTTAGTTTTGGTAAAGTTTCGTTATCATTTTCTTCCGAAGAAACTTGCATATCTAAGGAAGGACTGTTAAAAACCCCTTTAGATATTGAAACTTTTACAGAACCTTCTTCACTTTCTTGATCGATGATAGAATCTACCATATATACCAAATATAATGTAAAAAGAGAAAAAAAATAAACATTTATTTTCATAGAAAAAAAACAGGAGAAAACGTTAACTCCAGTTGTACCGTAGAGTTAGAATACGCATTACAAATAAAAAGTTTCCATACCTGAACTTGATTTAATTTGTCAGTTTGTATGAAGCTATATGCTATAGTGATCCAATTCAAACAATTTGTTCGGAGATTGTATTCGTGAAGATATCTTGTCAAATAAAATAATAAATAAATAGAAGGGCATGATCTTGATCGTTCAGTTTGTATGGCAGCTATGGTATATGCTATAGTGGTTCGATATTGGCAATAATTCTTGCAGAGAAAAGGATGTATGCAAAGCTTTAGATCGATAACTCAAACATTGAGAGACTAGTTCTCGTATATACAGACAGACGGACGGACAGACGAACATGTATAAATCTAATCTGTCTAATAGAGTCTCTGAATTTTACTTTTGGATGTTACAAACTTCGAGGCAATCTTAATATACCCTGTTGCGGGTATAATTGAAATAATTAAATTAATTTCTTTATTTTGTAATCCCGAAAATGTTAATTAAAAATAATTTTCGCATTTCTGATCGCAAACACTGGATTGAAAAATTAAAAATAAATTTTTTATCCCATTTATGGGGTTGAAAAAAATTTGAACTCAAGCATATAATTAAAAATTGAAAAATTAATTTTTTAGGAATTTAAATTTTTTCGCGTTGGCGTACTTCGTGTTTTACCATTTAGAAAGCCCGTGCAGAACCATTATCTTCAAAATCTAGAGTGGTCGGCAAACTAACACATTCAAACAATTTATATTTGATAAATTTTTAGTTGTGATTTTGTGGCCAAAAATTAAATTTTTACGTTTTAATTCTGATTTTGGCATTAAAAATTATATTTTAAATTTTTAATTACGATTTTTTAATTAAAAATTAAATTTAAAATTCCAAATTTTCCAAAAGTAATTCGAATTTTCGCCATCCCTGAACAGCCTTTAAACAAACATAATTATAAAGAATATATTATAGATTTCTAACCAAGTTTATTATGTAAAATTTAAGTAGTGTGTAATTTTAATCATGTGATAACTTACATAGAAATTATGTGCGACAAGTACAAGGAAAAACCACGGCTGTATACAAATATTTGCATACATATGTACGTATACATACCAGAAAATTTCCGGGAATTGTTGGCCCACAATTCCGGGCGTTTAACGCTCTACTAATACTCTTTATTGACCGTCTGTCCCGTTGGAACGAATTCATGATGAACCAAACCGCGAATATCGAAAAGAAAAACAATTTCCGGAAATTTTCTAGTCTTAATGAACAATGTTGCTACAGAGTAAGTAATCAAAGATTCGAAGACCAAAAACTCGTTCAATACCATCGATCAAATATCGTATTCACCGGATTTGGCCCCATGCGACTTTTTTTTGGTTTCCAAAACTCAACTGGAACCCGTTTCGACTCGATTGAGGCCGTAAAAGCAAATTCGCAGAGGAAACTGAAAGCGATCTCGGACAGCGCCTAAAAGGCATGTTTCGATGGAATGGAAATCGAGGTGGCATATGTATATCGCTTCAGAGGGAGCATATTTTGAAGGCGACAAAGTAAATATTGATGAAGATTACAATTTTTTCGCTTTATTTACAATTTCCGATAACTTTCTGGTCTTAAAAATATTATATGTATAATATATTTTAAGTGCGCGTCAACTAACAGTGCGCCGAAATAAGTGAAAATGCTTGACAAAATATGTAATTGTAATTTACACCGCGTTATGAAATAATACATTTAGCTTAAACTATAATAAATAAATATCTACATAGTATGTGTGTATTAGTGTATATTTTATTGTTGCCGATTAAAAGTTACATATTTGCCGAAGAGAAATTACCTGTGCACAAGTGTTAGTTACTAAATACCCCGACAACTGATAATGATAAAAACAACAAAAACAAACCGATAGTGGTTCAATAGTAATCAATGTGCAAAATAAATTGAAGTTATCAGTTAAATTCAGTTCGTGGTTAGATCGCTGTAAGAGCAAGTGCCTTTAGTTGTAGGGCGGTGAACTGCAGCAGAAATAAATAAAATATAATACTTGTACAATAACTGCAAATAATATTAAAACAAAAATAAAATTTTTTCTTAAGTAAATTTTAAATACAAAACGAAACAAAATTATTAACAAAAAAATTAAAATTGATTGTTTTAAAAATAAAAAACGTTAAAAATGTTACAAAACGATGCAGTGCGAAATTTGCAATACGACAACGAAATTCGCGTCGCGCAACAAAATAACGCCGAACCGAGAGGTATAAAACAAATATTGAAAATTTATTAGCAAATTATTAGAAGTGGAGTGTAATTCAACGCAGTTTTTCAATTATATATATTCCTTACATTTATGACAGTTTTTATTATTTGATTGCTTTAAAAGTTAATGTTTTTACACCACACAAGAATATTCTTTTGACACAACTAACGACAAAACGACTTTGATATTAACGTACGTTTGTTTTTCGCCCGCTTGGGCTTATCTTATCTCTGGTCTGTTTAGCGTATCGCTACCTGTGTGTATGCTTCATGGATTATAATCAATAACTTATAAACAACGAAAAGAATATATAAAGCTTTTTACAATTATTGCATACCATAGTTATTAAAGTGCATATCATAAAATTGCTGGTGCAATATTTATAAAATTTTGATATTTTGCACTATATTTACGACAGTTTGCATTATATTTATGACAGTTTTTGTTGAAATTATCAGTGCTGATGGGAAAGTTGTAACGATAAAGTCGACCTTTCGTAAAAACAGCTTGGGTAACTACCGTTACTTTAACTGTTATTTAATTTTGCAAATCATCAACTACTCAAATGCACACTATTTTCGTCATTTATATACTAAATACAAACAAATTCAGTGGCATTTAAAAATTTCACTTGAGAAGACCTGATTATGCTTCATGAACAACAGCTCATTAAAGACACGAAGTCAGACTGTGTCATAAAGCTTATTTAGCTTAACGTTGTTGTAGCTTATGACAGATTTGACACTACTAATACACAAAAATTTATAAATTATTCTTATTCGTTAACACTTTTCCATAAAGCTCAGAGTGCGTCTATTGTTGACTAAGCGAAATTTTGCTCCTAAATCGACTCTCCGTACAAAGCAGTATTCATTGCTGACAGCGGAAACGTCGGTTATAAATGGTAGTGTCACTATTAGATTCTTAATTCAAATAAATAATATAAAAACCGCTTCTCTGAGCTTATCTTTCTGTTCGATACATCACTTTTCCTTCTCGAATATGAGGTCAACATAGATCCACACCCATTGGAATATAGGTTTAGGACATACGGATTGGTATAAAATTGATTTCCGGTTAATATTATATGTATTCGTTTGTCCAAGTATTCGTATATCCGTATTCAGCGAAGTTTAGTTTAATATTCGTACATCTAGTTATTATCTATTAATAATTTTAAAAATAGAATGGTATATATCGTGTTTCAAAACTTCTTTGTATACATTTTAATATTGATGTTCTTGTTTTTAGTTCCGCTTTATAGCTGGTTCAAAGTGTAGTATCTGTTCCTATCAGCTTAACACTTCTTAGATCCTCCATCGAAAGACAACAATTTTTGAAACAGATTTTCGGAAATAGCCGGAGTGTTTTAGGGGCTCGCTCCACCTCCATAACGGGTTGGCTCAGTATTTCAGTACCACCGGGAATTTAATTCATTTCAAAATATTTGGATTACCAGTTTGCCGAGCCTTGCCTTATCTGTCGATCTCTACTCACATATCTTCGAAGAAGGAGAGAAGCACTCGCTGGAGTAGAGGGGCTGTGAGCTTTTTTACGGATGCATCAAAGCTTGCAGGGAGGATTGGTGGATGAGTACCCTGTCGGGAACTTTCTATCAGCTCTAGTTTTAGGTTTCCTGACGACTGCAGCGTCTTCCAAGCGGAGGTGGTTTGCAGAAAGGTAGAAGTAGATCTACCTACTTCTCCGGAGCGCAACCTCCTTTAGAGTGGTGACTATCCACTCCGATAGTAGGGCAGCGATATTAGCCTAGAGTTCGCTGACTATGCGCTCAAGACTAGTGAAAGGATATCTAGACTCCATATCTCTAGCGTCGACTTATTTTACGATTAAACTGGTTTTGGGATAGGACAGGAACCTCATTCTCAATAAATGTGCGAACGAGTAAGAGCTCCGTTGGCTTCTTGTGGTGCGCTACTCGACTATTGCGCCTCAAACCAGCTCAGCAAGCATTTGCTTTTTCCTTCTCGCCCAGGGTAAATCGTAAGAGGTCTATGGAACCTTCGCACTCAGCAAGGTCCATCGTTTAATGGTTGTACGAGTTCTAACTCGAAATTGTTCGATCGGGATTCATGCAGTAAAATTGGACATTTCAGCGGATGCCAGCCACATTAGTTGTTTGGAAGAAGATGAGATAGAATTAACTCAACACTTCCTCCTCAAATGTCCCGCTTTTGTCAGATCAAGGCAAAAATACCTTGAATCTTATATTTTTGGACATTCACGAGAAATGGCGTTTATAGAAATAAAGCATTTAACCGGATTTGTGATAGTTTCAGAGCGTTTTTGCCGCAAGCTGATATCTACCTACAGGAGTTTTTCGTATGGCTTCACAAAGGATTGCACTAAACAGTCTATGTGTGATCCCCCGCCGAGAGTTCAGCCATTTAACCTAACCTGCCTTTTCAAGTTGGATATTGAAATATTCGCATTATCCAGAAAATTAAAAATTCGAAAAAATAACCTTCCTTCATGAAGGTATCTCAGGAACGACTGAGAAACTCAGGCTTTGTCTTTGTATCTTATTCTCGAAATCCAAAGTAAAGCGTCAGTTGCTAAATTTTTTCTATTAACAATTTTGTTTTTATGATATTTTTAACGAGGGGCTCAAGCCCAGACTAATAGTATCAAGTGATGTATATAAGAATATAGGACGGACGAAATGTTTTCTTAGGTGTTTCCATAAAGTTTAGCTTAGAGGTAAATCACTTACTTTCGCGTAGAATTATAAAGAGCAAATATCGAAGAGACTGGTTTTTAGTATTTCTACCAGACAAAATCTTATGTTTGTTCCCACTTTCAGTATATAATGGACCAATCAGCATTACCTCGCAACCGACAAGTAAGTCTTATAGCATATAGTCTTGAATTCAACTCTTAAAAATATTTCATGCATTTTTTTCTAGCAGCTGCGGAACGTATACCGTTACCACTACCAATTTCAACGGTAGATAACAGTTTACCGTCACACCGCAGTTTTAGCATACCCATGACCGGTTATGACTTTCTCACAGAGTTGCCATCAGTGCATATTGAGCAAACATTTGAATTAAATGAGTGTAAGCATAACAAAATATAGTTAAAACTGGTTAAATAGAAGTTAATAAGTTTGCATAAGCGTTCGCTTTATCAAGTATTGACTGTACGTTGAGGATTTTTAAAAATAAATTTGTATCGCTTCTGCACAGCTTTGACATCGGTATCTTCCGAGAACCGCTATGTTGTGCGCTCACCACTAGGTGATGCCATCTATGCCGCTTCGGAGAGTTCAACCTCAAATAATCGCCTACTTTGGGGCGCCGGGCGACCCTTCCAAATGCATTTGTTGGATAAAACACATCAGGAGGCATTGCTGTTACGCAAGCAATTTGCGCTCGGCGCAATGTGTTGTCATCCAAAAAATCTAGAGGTATGGATACCGCCAGGTAATTTATTAGGGCGCGTAGTAAACTCGCCCACATTTCTGCGTCCTGAATATTTCATACAAGACGGTGTCACCGGTGAGCCAATATTTTGCATTGAAGGCCCCGAAAAGTCGGGCTTCTGCTGCTTCTGTTTGTCAAAAGAAGCGTTCTTCAAGGTATGCCTCTTTTTTTTAGTGTTGATTTGTTGTATTTATTAATAAAATACTTATTTACTCGCACAGATACATTCCGGCGGCGAACTGCGCGCATCTATCGACCACAAGTGGGTCGCGGGTAAATCACAGTACACGACAAATATATATTTTAGTGATACTAAATTATCGGCCAAGGATCGCGCATTGATTTTGGGCGCGGCATTTCTGATGGTGTGTTTTTAATTAGGATAAAAATGAGTTTTTGTTAAGTATATTTGTTTGTTTTTTACTACTTGCAGGAGTACATGTACTTCCAAACTCGGCTTTGAGCTGCCTTAAAAATTGTGAAGCAATGTAGAATGCACAGTGTGGCAACGTTTTTTGTATAATATAAATTATAAATATGTATATACAATATATATATTGTATATTAATATATATTAGGGTGGGCCAAATAAAACTTTAAATTGTTTTCCAGTTAATTTTATTATCATCCAATTTTCTGTGGCGTGTACTGTTACTCTGACCACAAACTGTAGTCCGATGGATTCAAATGTGAACATCCAGACAGCCAATCATATGCAGCTATGAAACCAGGAACATTACTGCTAAGCGATTTTGGTCTTGTGTGCTGGAGCAGAAGCTTGCTGGAAGATCCATTGCTCTCCATGGAAGAAAGTATTGCATAACTGCTTGACGACGCTTTCTAAAACATATTGCTGGTACACTTTTGCCCCAGTTCTAACACCTTTTTTACAGAAATAAAGAAGTGTTACGCCTTTAGAAGTGTTAAGCCTCCCGACGAAACCATTACCTGGATGGTAATCTAGAGTAATAATAATTTTTGTAAAAAGGATACTTTTTGATCGCTTGCCACTGTATCTTTTTTTTTTGTTTTTTGTTTTCAAAGGGGTAATCTTCAAAAGATATTATCATATTGCAGCCGGCATGGCTTGTTTTGCGGGATTTGCGAAGTAGGACGCCTACATACTAAACCCTTAACTCCGTCTTCTATAGCTCTTTTTTTCCTTTCTTTACATTATGGGATCAAAAAGATAATGTGCCACGCGTTTTCAGGACCATTTCTACAAAAAGAGCAGTCATATCTATCGTCATGCCCATATTTGTATAAATACTCTCTAAAACAGTCGTGTCTAGTCAGAAGCTGCGTCAAGTAATAATCAGTTTCCCCATGGTTCTTCTTTATGCACGCTTTTGTCGTTTCGTTCGATCGTTTCTGCCACTCATTTAGGCTAGTTTGTTTATCTAGCTTCCTCTCTTCAGCAGTGAGTCGTCTGTCAGTGTTTTTAGTTTTATCGAAAACTCTTTTGAAGCTGCTTGCATCTGTTGAGCCTAATTTGCTTCAAGCGCGTTGTCAGCAGATGACCAGTTGACCGATCGTAGTCTTTCATGTGGAGATCATCTCGAATAAGTCTTGACATTAATCTGATCGATATATACATTTTCCTTGACATAATTTTCAGTTTTCTACAGAGTTTTCTGCGAATGAGTTCGCGAACAGTTTGTATGACCCATTCTGTTATAAATTGCAGATGTTTGGCAAACACATAAATATCACTTGCACCCTTTCCATACTTATGTAAAGCAATCACCGCTATACGCTTTTCTTTAGCTCACCCTAATATGTACATATGTATATGTATATAGTTTTGTAAATGAAAGTCTTTATATTTGACATTTTTGCTGATTTTGTTTTATTTCATTTCCATCGGTCATGGTTTTTACTTTAAATATATATATATATTTGTATACCATAATTAAACATATGTACCGATATTTATATATACATACATTTAACCATTTTATTGAAATAAAAATTATTTTTTTTTACAATTATATAATAATCACTTGTTTTGATTTATCAATTATTTCTTATATTTTTATTTTTTGCAATTTGTATGCTTTCAATATTTATTATACTATTTCTCGCGCGGCATTGTGTTGCCACACGTTCATATTTTACATTATAAACAGTCAGACATACCTACAAAATGTTACAGCATACATTTTTTTACACAAAATTACATATAATTTAAATAGCTGTAACATACGAATATACAATAAAAGAAAGTAATTAAAATGTTTTTTGCTGTAATGCATTATTTTTTATTATTATATATTTTTTTAAATTTATTTTGTACACGACACACGTTATTTTCATTCACAATTATAGACATACAATTTAAAAACTTAATTACATAATTCTTAATTTATTTATTTAGCTTGTTTGTGTAGCGTAAAAAATCTAATTATATTATTATGAGCGTAAAAATCAATTAAACTAATTTAAAATCGACTATTTATTGTTTAAGCATAGCGCATTTATTACTAATTACAATAAAAGACATTAATATTTTTTATAATTACCTTAAAAAAAGAGTTGGACTATAACTTTGCACTATTTAAAAAACACTTAAATTATAATTATTAAAGCTTATAATGTTAATTACAATTATTAAAGTTCATCTTTCAGCTGTATCAACACAGGCGAGAACTCATTCAACGATTTTTGTTAAAAAAAAAAATATCTGTTTAAAAAATATATTTTGTTTAAAGAATATATTTTGTTTACATAATAATGACCACATACATTACATGTTTGTAAATGTATGCATGCAGCTTTCATTACATTTGCAGTCTCGTTGATTACAAAACAAAAAACGCAAAAACTTAAATTGAAAAACAAACAAACTTTAAGCGGTTTCAAATAAAATTTAAGAACAGCTATTAAACACAGGTATTTCATTTTGTAATGTTATATACTTGTATGTACATAAATATATATTTTTTTAATATCTCTCAAAATATTTCAGCGAATTTTGTTGTTTGTCGTTTAATTTTGCAGGAAGAACTTTGTGATTTTTTACGAAAAAACTGAAATGATTTCAATTTGACTACTTCAAAGTGCCTTAAGTTTTGCTAAAATACGTGTGCTTGTATGTTTTATAGCAGTCAAAATATATACAAATATTTGACTGCTTTTGAAATGTGAGTTGCAAAGCGAAGATGCTGGTAAAGCTTTTAAGCGTGCAAGAAGGCGCTTGCCAACTCTATGAACAATATAACGGCGCACAAATTTGCAATTTTTGAAATAAATTTTTCAAATCGAAGGTTAAAGGAAGGCTAAACGATAGTATAGTTCGAATTACTACACAGCAGTTGCCTAAAATGCAAGTATTTGCTATACAACTGCGTTTCAAATGTTTGAAATTCGAACGTAACTAAAAATGTCAGCTCAAAACGGTTGACGGAAACGCTATGAAGTTCAAATAAGGCTAAATAATATTAAGGAAAAATAGATATACATTTTTGAAAATAAATATAATTTTTTTTATATTATCTCTTTTGCTAAAAACTGTTTCAATATCAGTTATTAGCTTAGCTGATCGGTTTACTTAATTTTTCTTTTATATTAGACAATTTTTATGCTGCTTTGTTTACATAGTTACTTACAACGTTATTATCTCTGTTATTTTTATTTTTAATTGTTTTATATCTATCGATTAGATATTTTGACTTGATGTGGATATTGCGCCACGATTTTTGTTTAGAAATATGTTTTTTTTTTTGAGTTACTTACATATTTTTAAATATATATATATTATTTAATATTTTTTTTATTTATAAGTATTTGTTTTTATACATTTTATATTAAAATTTTTTGTTATAATTTTTTTATTTTAGTTATTATTTCTTATTTTAAGAATATATTTTATATTGTTTCATTAAAATACATATATTTCATTATTATTATTAATATTTTAATTTTTATTTCAATTTTTTAGTTTATTTTTATTTTTTATATTTATAAGGTTAAACTTTTTGTTTTGCGGCTAAGCCATTAGACTCACAGCACTTAGAGAGTATATTGTGTATTTATGTAAACCTACCAGTGGTATGTAGTACATAGTAGATAGTTAAAAATTTAAAGAAACTTTAGGTTATAACTAGATAATTATTATATATACATACAGCTACATATCGATAGTTAACACATTCAGAAAGTTCACGCCAACTAGCAGAGGTGCTTATAATTCAATATAAAAATATATGTACATATGTATTTTCCATAAATTTTGTATATTTTGGTATATAATAAAGTGATAGTGGGTAGGGAAGTTGTATATGTATGTGTGTAGATTGAGGATTTTGTGTGTAATTTTTTGTATATTACTACATAGTAGGTATGCATATTGAAATTTGTATATGAAATCAAACAGAATTCCATGTAGAATGTAAAGTTGTAGATTTTTCTTTGCATAATTAGGTGGTTATGCCTAGTATTTTTTTGTTTGTATTGAGGACAAAGTGTGCTTGTATAGGTTCTAAATGTGTGTATATACTACATGTATATGTATATATAATGTGAGTGTTTGTTTATTTACTTTTGAAATACCATATGTCTGTCTAGATATTTTTCTAGCAATGATAGTTTAATCCCTAGTTAAGTTTTTTTGTTTGTTGATTTTGTTTTCATTTTAATGTGTGTACTGCTGTTGCTTTCACGAAATGCAAAAACACCAACGCTGATATTTGTTTGCAGGTTGTGTCTACTGAGGAAGTAAATAAGCCGGCAAATGTTTTGGGTGTGGAAAAATTATTTTTGAAAACCTTTTCTTTTTCGTTAAAAAACAAAAAATAAAAAAATAAATTTATTTTAAATTTATAAAAAGAAAATGTATTTTAAAAATATAATTTAAAAATTTGGTGGTGTTAAAAATATGTTAAACTATTTGTTTGTCGTTTTGCAAAAAATAAATTTATTTTCAAGAATAAAAAAATTTATTTATTTTGAAAAAAAAAAATTATTTAAAAAAATAAAGACTAATTTAGTTTGAAAAAATAACAAATTAAAAAAATAATTAAATAAATTTATGTTATTGTAAAATTATTTTTAATTAAAAATAAAAATTCAAAATATAAAAAAAAATATTTATTTTCAAAAACTTATTTTTGTTTTAAAATGTAATCAATTAAAACAAATATTTTAATAAATTTGGTGGTGTTGAGAAATTATTTTTGAAAACTCTTTCTCATTTGTTCTTTCAAACAAAAAAAAAAAATTAATTTATTTTTTAACGTTTAGTTGTGTTGAAAAATTATTTTTTAATTGATTTTTTTAATTTGGTTTTTAAATTTTATTTAAAAAATTTAATATTTTGAAATATCAAAATTTTTAAAACAATTTTGGTATGCTTTCAAACCTTATTTCTCCCATTTGAGCGCACAACCTGCTGGATTTTATATATAAATATTTTTATACTAAGCGTAAGTCAACTCTATAGAGTGGACAAAATTTAATGCTAAGCAGAATATAACGGCAGCTGCGCCGATTTGCAGATTTTTATACTTTTCTTTGCGAGTATTTTTAAATTTTGTTGTTTTTTCTCAAAATTATGCTGTCCTTTTAATGTTTTGTGTTTCACGGTTTGATATAACCTCAAATTTGCTGCTCATTATGTAAAAAAATGAAATTATTATTGTAAAAAAGTGTGTTTGTGTGTGTGTATCCGTTATGAATAACTATTGTATACATACGATATGTAATACAGGATATGCGCTGACTTTTTGGGTATTTTCAAAACTAATTTTCAACTGAGCACAACTGCCGTTACACTTAACCGCTTAGCTTAATTTCTTACACAAATATACTTTAGATAATATAAATTCTTTATATAATATAAACTCTTTATATATGTATGTACATATCACGCGCTTACGCACTTATTAGCCGCTTCATCCATTACTTCACGCTAGTACTTTCTATGCAGCAATTGTGGCAAGGCAAACGGTGTTTCTACCGCGTGTCGCGGCTGATATTGTAATTGCAGGTGATATTGTTTTTGCTCCAAGGCACCAACACTGCTACCGCTCCAACCGCTGTTAGTGGAGTTGTGAAAATGGTTGCATTGAATAGTAGCAGGCGCTTGCCAATCCGCCATTACTGATTGCGTTGCTTGTGGCTGGTGTCTGGTTGCGGCGCTGTGTTGTGGCATTGCCAGCGGCAAACTATCCCTTATTCATCCGCTCGGCGGCGCATAAGCATAATGTCAGTTATTCGACGAGGCATTCGATGAGGTGATCGATGCGGGTGAGCCGACCGCAGCGGTGGCGCTGGCCGCACCGACGCTGGATAGTGAGGAGACGCGCGCGCGTTTCTCGCTACTCGCACTCTCGGTGGGATTGTCGCTCTCTTCGCCATTGCTAAAGTTGCCTGGCAGACGGCGTTTGAGATTATTATTCAAACCGCTTGCGATGGCTTCGTCTTCCGAGGTCGAGTTGGTGCGTTTCGGTGTGTTCGTAGCGCTATCGTTGTCCAAAGAGGCAATAGCTGTGGCTGCTGCAATTGTAGCGGCGCTGAAATCATCCTCCGATGCGCTATCCTGCGACACTATTGCACTGTGATTTGTATTTATGCCAGCTGACTCGCCCATAACACCACTGGCGCCACTCAGTCCACTGCCGAGACTCATGCCCGAAGGTGTTGTGTAGCTGCCCAATTTGTTCGGGTCCTTTTCAATGAGTTTTTGTGCAAGTGTTTTCAGTGAGATCAGCGAGTTCTCACAGTCGCTAGTGTCGATCTCCGTCAGGCTAATACCGGCTCTTTCAATCTCGGCATAGGTGCCGAATGGCAATTTCTGTAGGCATTCCAATTTTTGTACGTGTGTTTTAGAGCGCAAATGCTTGGCGAGATGTCCGTGTATGCGAAAGGCGATTTTACAGTCGGTACACTCGAAGGGACGTGGGTTGGAGGTCGTAGGAACACCGAAGGTGGACGTCATCATGACTTTGTTCTTATGTGCTTCAGCGCGTTCATGTTTCTGGAGATGACCTTGCGTGCGGAAAGATACGCCGCATGGTTCACAGCGGAACTTGCGCTCCATATAATGTATATTCATATGTAAAGACAATTGTCCTTGCGTCTGGAAAGTTTTAGTACAAACTTTACACACCGGCCGTCCATCCGGTGACATGCGCACACGCGGATAAACGGGCTGTATTTCATTGTTACCAGACTTCTTAAGACCATCTTCGCCCACAACGACTGTACGTCCAGGTGCGGAAAGCACGCCTGTGAATTCGGTAGTTCCCGGTTGTGCCACGACCGCAGGTAACTTAGCATTATGCGGCTCTACGTTTGTTGTATTATTGTTGGTAGCTGTGTTGCTTATGCTTCGACTGCGCTTCGAGGTGTGACCAACCACTGGTTGCTCCTGATCGGAAATGCATTCACTATCTTCGCCTTCATCGGATGATTTACAAGACGCAGATACGTTGGACTTTGCAGCCAATGTTTTGTTATTAGTGACACTGCTGCTCGAAACGTCAACTTTATTATTGCTTGCCGATGTTGCGGCTGCTGCGGCAGCCACTGTTTGTTCGCTCTTAGACTCCTCCGTTGGCACTGCATTGACCTCGATTGTGGGCACTTGCAACTCAGTTGCTTTCTTCTCCCTCTCCACTTTGGTGGCGGCTGAGGGTTTCTTCGGTGGGCTGGTGTTCACGACGTCCGTGCTCTCTGCGGTATCATTAGTTACCACCGTCGTGGCTATGCTCTCCGAAATACGTACACTGCTGCTTGCACTCGCTGTTATTGTGAGCGCTGTGTTGGATCCAGCGCCCGCTACGCTTACGGTACTCATGTTTGCTGTGCTGGCGAGATTTTGATTAATGGCATTCACATTGATGGCATCGGGGAAACTCTGGTTCATTTGGATTTGCTTGATTTTATGATATTGGAATGCCTTGTGGTATTGGTAGGCTTGCGAAAGTTCATCACCGTTCTTGTAGTTTTCAAGCATTTCAGTGGAGCTGCGCACCTTGTCTGACACTGAGATGAGTGTTTTCAAGAAACCCGATTCATTGTTGCTATTACCGAAGATTACGTCACGTATTTGCGCTTGCGTTTGCACTGGCGGACCACTTAGTGGCACTGCTGAGCTGGCGCTGTATTCTTCTACAAGCGCAGAATTTCCCATCTGCGTAGCTGTGGTGATAGTCACAGACGAAGTCGTAACACTGATGGCAGCACGTGGCTTAGTGAGGTCAATGGGCGCACTCTCATAACTCGTTGCAGCAGCATTGTTATTGTGTTTCGGCTTGGACTCTTCGGGATTGGAGTAGTATTGCTCTTGTTTCTGATAGTCGAAAGGTGGTTTGGGTGAACTGAATGATATGACACGTTTAATACCGGTGGGATGTGTGCTGGCAGTTGATGAACTGGCTGAGGTAACTGCTGTTGCTGCTACGCTTGTCTGTCCTACAAACGACATAGCGGCTGTTTCCATGCGTTCGCCATGCTGCTGATATGGGTATGGTTCACTTTTCGGATGTGGTGAAATGCTTTGACCGATGGGTGGCGTCATAGAGAGCGAAAGCAAACCACGCGCCGCCTCATGCTCCAGCAGACGCGACTTCGACTCGTCTGTATCTGTGCGGAGAGAAAACAAATCGCAATTAGTATGTTGTAAGTTATAAGTTTTGTAAAATGGATAATTACGCCTACCGCTGCTTTCGGACTCGTTGTCACTGTAGTCATCCGAGTCCGATTCGCCTGGTATGGACGACGTGCGTCCACCAGCCGACGTGGTCGATTGTTGATCGAATTCTGGTTCCGGTTCGAGAAATTCACCATCCGCCGGCATTGGACCGGGATTAATGCCGAGCTCTAGGCATTTCTTGAAATGCGTCTTCGACTGCATGTGCTTCGTGAGATTGCCTTTTGTCTTAAAGCTGTAAATTTAGAGAAAAACATTTATAAATTTTATTAAGCACTTCAATGCAGACAGATTTCAATTGACTCACCTGAAATTGCAATGTTTGCAAGTGTATGGACGCACATCCGTGTGTGTGCGTATGTGTTTCTTCAGCATCGAAGGTTTCTTACATCGAATGCCGCACTCCGAGCAGACATACCGGCCACGACCACGTCCACGTATGTAAGTGTAGTCCTCGTGTGATTCATAGCCACCCACTAACATTTGACTAGCCGATGGCTCCTTCTTGCCATCCGTGCTGCCACTACTACCACTGCTGCTACCGCTACTACCGGCGCTTGCCTTCTTCAACTGTTCGGCACTCTCGATAGTATTGGTGTTAAGTGAGATTTGCTTCAATTGATGATGCTGATACTGACCCTGATTATTCTCGAAGGGTGTCATAACGGTCTGCTGGGAGACAACCAAAGTGTAGGGCAGCTTATTCATGCCGGCCATGGTGTTGGTAGAGCTCTTCTGACGTGAGTCATACAAGGACATTACCAACTTCGGTTTAAAGCCCAACGGATGTGGATTGTTTTCCGCACATACCTTCCATACACTGTACATTGAGAGCTTCTGAGCGCCTGCCACATAAGAGGCCTGCGGACAGTTTACGGTGCAGTAGAACATTTTCGTGCTACATTTGAGTCCCAAATATGTGTACGCATGCCCGTTCAGATATAGTTGTACGCAGGATTTGGATGGACGTGGTGTCTCCGGCGATATAAGTGGCAGTGTGTTGGCATTCGGTGTGATGCCGTGATGTCGCTTGGGTGTGAATGTGCCTGGCTTGAGCGGCAGACTGGTTGGCCGCAGAAATTTCGATTTCTTGGTCTCGGCGTCGGTGGGCTCTGAGCCGTTGCTGTTCACAGACGCAGCACTTGTGCTAATATCGACATGTAGAGGTGTGAGTGCAGAGTTTGCCGGTGTAGTGGTACCGGTCTCCACATCCTTAGTTAAATGATCGAAATTGAAGTGACGTACTTCATTTTCTGGCGGCGAGCTTCTGAGTATATTGGCGCTACCACTTTTGCGCGGACTTATATTGTCAGCCATGCGTGTGAAATTGAATGGTTTCTTCGGCACATCCAAATTATTTGGCTTGCTCGTCGAGCTTGTTGCAGTTTGCGGATTCCAACTGCGTACCGCACGCATGCCTGTCGCACGCTCTAAGTCGTTTTGCGCGCCACGGAATGGTGATACAGATTTGAGATTTTCCTGCGATGGCAACGTCAAAGATTTAGGACTAACACTATTAGCAGTTAACAGCGGGCTTTGTGTTTTCTTGCGGTTCGGACTGAGCGAACGTCCAGCGGCCAGCATTTGCGCTGTCGGTTGCGGCAGCTGCAGATGTTGCGGTGGTGGTAGTTGGGGTGTTAGACTATTTGGACCTGGTATACCGGGTACGTGTGGTATAATTTTCTCCCCACCTCCAGTCATACTTTGCAAAGGCGGCAGAGTTAAAGGATTAAATGCCGTTATAGGGTTGATGGAGAACTGATGAAAATGCTGCGGACTATTTGTGGGCAAACCGAGGCCGACCAAGCTTAGTTTCGGCGTAAACGCACTACTGCTGGCAAAGGGCAATGCAATGCTACTTTTGTTCTCCTTATCTTTCGGTTTAGGTGAGACTTCCTGAAAACTACCGCCCGATAGCAGGGGTGTACGTATCATTTTCGTGCTCTTATCTATATCGCTGCACTCCGATAGTGGTATTATGCAGCCGCCGGAGGAAGTGAAGCGACGCATACGTTCTTCTTTTTTGCTCAGATCACTGGTACTGGTATTGGGCAGCAGTTGTATATCACCGCCGCTGATGCTATTGATAGTCAAGCGTTTGCTGGACGTTGCGGCCATCACACCACCGCTGCTGGTGGGTGCTGGATTAAGTGAAAATACCTCGTTGCTATCCGAAGCCAGTTTAGCGCGTTTCGCAGATGGATGTGGCTCGAATTGACGATCTTCGTGCATTTTCGTTATGATCACATCTTCTGACGACTTGCGCGTCTCGCTGGTATTACCAAAATCGACAAGCGGTGTTTTGCCCAAGAGTGGACCGGGTGATGGCAGTGGTGCATCGACTAAGCGCACAATGTTCGGATCGGGTAAAGTCAAATTAGCCGGTGGACCATTAGGCGGGGTACTTCTAGGTGAAGCAACACAATTGGCCACACTGTTGCTACTCGTTGAGCTAGTAGGCGCTGTAGATGTCGCTGAAGTGGTCGTGGTGGTAGTTGCTTTTGAGCTGCCAGCCTGTGAAGCGCTGAGTCGACTTAAAACCAACGAACTCGGTTTAGTGCGTAGCTGATACCAAGCCAGCTTAGCGAGTGGCAGTGGATCGTGCGAACGAAATATGGTGTTCTTCAGCTCGGGCAGATTTAATGTCATCGAGTTCGAGCGGAAATAGCGGTACGAAGGCGATGATACTGGACTGATGGGCGCGCTTGTGGCACCTTGACAGTAAGTACTGTTGTGCAGCTGCAAATCCTCTGCCGTACGGAAAGTATTCGAGCAGAGCGGACAATTATAAACAGCATCCTCACCTTCGCCTGTTGGCACCGCCAAACCGCGCGCATTCAGCAGTAAATTTTTAATTATGGAAACATTCGTTGGCTGTTTCGCATTGGTAGCGCCGCTACTAGCAGCTGGCGGCGCCGTAACCATCGAACTGTTGGTAGAACCTTCATTGCTGGAATTGGAGATCTGGTTTTCGATGGACTGACGCTTGCGCGATGTACTGCTTGGCCTAATCGTTAAGTTACTAGCTGGAATGGCTTCGGTTTGTTCTTCCTGACGCGGCTGCGACTTAGCGGACAGGTTTAATGGCACCGCATTTGAGTTGACGGTGCTTATCTGCTGCATCGCGTTAATGATGTCCTTGTGTAATGCGTCGCCGGTGGATTGTGCGCTTATAGGCGACGGTGCGGGGCGTTGCGTCTCCGGTGGTGGCGCAGTAGTTAGCTGTTGTTGTCTGTAAGCGGATGTGTTTGGATGCTGCGGCTGATGCAATGTTTGTAAGTGTTGTGGCATTGGCGCTGCAATGCAGGTGGACTTTGTCGTGGTTGGCACTGACACTAGGTTCTTTGAAATACCATTTGATTGCATATGATGTTGTTGCTGCTGTTGTTGTTGGAGCTGCAGTTGATGCTGTTGATGTTGCTCTTCGAGACGCAGTTGTGCAATATGTTGCTGCTGCTGCTGCGAGGGCGGTGGCATTTGCATTGCTTGTGAGCCAACCATTAGCTGTTGTTGGAATTGTTGTTGATAGTGTTGTTGTTGCTGCAATTGTTGTTGTAACTGCTGCTGTTGTTGTTTCTGTACAATAGCTTGCGCTAGTCGGGCGTTGGTGGCGCTATCGCTGCCGACTGCGGTAGTGGCGACCAAACTGACGTTGTTGCCTCCCGCATTACCTGCTGATGTGGCAGCCGCGCCGCTATTGTTGCCGCCACCATTATTGGTAAAACTACGCGAGCGATTTAGACCTTTGGGATACTTCTTCTGCAAAAGTACCGCTTTATTCTCCACAATTGCCTCATTCTGTGAAATCAACTTGGTAATGTGTTCCTGCACAAGATCTGCAACTTTATTAGTGCCGCTGGCGGCCGCATTAGAGATGTTGCTATGCAAGAGACCGGTGCTTATAGAGGCTGTTGTATTGCTAGTCGCGCTACTAGCGCCGCTCACTAAACCACCGCCGGCAGTGTTGGTGAAATATTGTAATGGCGTTTGTTGCACGGCGGGCAATGGTGCTGACGCATTCATTTGCTGCATACCTGCTGCCGCCGCGGCGCTTGCGTGTTGTGCACTTGCACCACTCGGCGCGCGCCCGTGCACCGGCAATGTAGGGGTGGGCTTTAGTACTGTTGTTGGAGCTGATGGCGCATGGGCTGCTAACTGTGAAGGCATGTGCTGCAACTGTTGTTGCTGCTGCTGCTGACTTAGTTTGTGGAAGTGTTGTTGCAACTCTTGCTCCAGCCATTTGTATTGATAGTGTAATTTTTGCCGTTTATCTGCTGTCATCATGTGTAGCGCCTCAGGCGGAAAATCGATGCCACCCGGGTAGATCATGCGTGTTCCTGGCAGATAGCCCATATTGGCCGCTGCTACAGCTGCTGCTGCGTTCACTAAGTCAGCACGCGGTGCGGCGCTTTTGGGCGACATGGCCGCCACGTGATGCAATGGTATGCCCGCATTGTGTGGGGGTGGTAGTACGTGTAGTGCTTGCGGTTGTTGTTGTTGTTGTTGTAGCTGCAACTGTAACTGATGTGTGTTGATGTGGTTGTTTAACTTCACTTGTGTGCTGGGCGAAAGCGACGGATGATGCGACGCAGTTGGCGGTGGCAGCGGTGCTTGCGCCTGTGGCAACATAGCTAGGTGTGTAGCGGGCGGCATATTCTGCGGTGACGCTTGTGGTAGTTGCTGGTGTGGCGACTGTTGCAACGGTAATGGTTGCAGCAATCCTGGCGGCATGCTTGCTGCGACGGCGGCCGCTGCAGCCGCTGCTTCTTTTGTCGTCGCGTACAATGCCGCATTATGAAATTTCGGTTTATAAGGTTTATGCTCGGTAGCGGCGGTCTGTTTGGGCGTCACTGTAACGGCAGTAATAGTGGTGGCGTTTGACGTCGTCGGCTGCGGTGGCGGTAATGTGCCAGCAGCAGGTGAACCCAACGGTAATTGTTGAGGTTGTTGCTGCGCGGGCTGCTGCAAGTAGGCGCTTTTCGTTGACGACAGCGATGATGGTGAGGGTGTGGATGGCAGAGCGACATGTGGTGAGTGTGCGGCGCTTGCGTGCTGCATTTGCTGCTGTTGTATGGCCAAAACAATTTGTTGTTGCTGTTGCAGTTGTGTCTGCTTTTGTTGTTGTTGCTGCAACTGCTGCAGTTGCTGCGGGGTAAGGGTGTTAGCTGACGCCACAGCGCTCACCACCGCAGGTGACGATGCGGTACTTAGATCTTCCAGCGGCGAAGCGGTGCGACTTATCTGTGAAAGACAACACGCATTGACATTATATTTAGAGATCGCTGTTCGATATTTTAAGCAAATATTTGCACTTACCACATCCGAACTGCTGTTGCTCAACTCCGGATCGCCCTCCTGATCGGAGCCGCCAAAGAGGCCATCATCTGCGCTTATGGGCACCGCAATGCCGCGTTTCCGTGCAGCGTGCGAACGCGATCTACATGAAAAAATATCATAAATGATTATATATTTCGCCCAAAATTTGTATGTTGTTACAACTTACCGGCAATGTTTGTAGTAATTGCTATTCGTTTTGAACGCTATGCCACAGATGTCGCACGGGTAGGGACGTTCGTTGGTGTGCGCGCGTATGTGCTTCTGCAGCACCGACGGTTTTGTACAATTCAGATTGCAATAAGGACACACATAGCGTCCAGTGCTGGCATTGCTGTTGCCACCACTATTCTGCTGATTCTGTTGATTCTCATAAATATGCGACAAAGTTTGCGGTATTTGCTCCGCTTCCAGCTGCTGCGTCGCACTGATACTATCATTGTTATTGTTATTGCTCTCACTGTGATTGCTGCTATTTGCTGGTGCGCCACTGTACTTAATACTATGCATATTGTTATTATAATTTGACTGCTCCACTGTTGCAACAACCGTTGCCGCCGCGTGCGCATGTCCATTCGTCAACGGCAGCGCGGCAATGGCACTTTGTACATAAGCAGCGGCGGGTGGCGCTGTGCTTTGCGCGTTCGTCACCGCTGTGGGCGTTGGTGTTGTTGCCGGTGGCGGCGATATTGAGCTCGTCGACGCCGCTGAGGACAGCGAGGTGGTGCGCGTTTGCGCCGCCTCACTGCCTGCCTCACTACTAGCGCTACTGCCTACGGCATTGACGCTCTGGCTGTCCGCCACCAGGCTGTCCACGTCTGTGGTGCTGGCGAGTCGTTTGAACTTTTTGTGTAAATACCGCGCGTTATTCCAGGTATTCGGCTCGGCGGCCGGCGCTGCCACTGGCGCTGCGCCTGCTGCTGTCTCCGCTGCTTTAGCTGTTGCTTTCATATCACTACTATTGTTGACATCCTGTTGTTGTTGCTGCTGTGATTGGTCACTTTTGCGCGCCAACTCATTTTGACTTAAGGTAAAATTATTTTTACTTAAACTACTGTTACTAGTATCACTGTGTTTGTTGTTGCTGTTGTTGTGGCTGCTGCTACTGCTAGTGGCGGTGGTTGTATTGTTGTTGTTATTAACATTGGTTGTGGCTGTTTCAGATTTTACAACAGTCTTTTGCTCTCCTCTAGCTTCCCGGGCGCGTGCCGACTTGCTGCCTTGTGTGACTACCGCTGCCTCATTGCCAATCGCAAGTGGATCTTTGGCACCGCCAGCCGTCGCCTTGCCATTGCTGCCACTCACTACTGTCTCCGTTGCAGTGTAAGCAGCCAGCGCTGCAGCGCGTTGTGCAGCTGCTGCTGCCGCCTTTGCCTGCTTGGCTGTTTGTTTCGGCACTTTGACGCTATCGCTGGCATTTGCTTGCGCTTCGCCGCCTTGTGTGCGATATGTGCCGCGCCTTTCTGTGGCACGATGATGATTGTTTTGTAATTTTGTTGTTTTATTATAGTGTTTTGCTGTTGTAGTAGTTGTGGTGGCAGCTTCCATATTGCTGTTGCTATGATTTTGTTGTTGCTGTTGCGTTTGGCGTGATTGCGCTGTGCCACCTGGATCATCTGTAGAGATTGAGGGAGAGAAAGAGATATAGAGTTAATATTAGTTCAGAAGAGTTTGTGTAGCTTGTAATAAGTGGTGCATATTATAAATCATAATTTGTATAATATATTACATTGTATTAGAAAGAAATTATGAAAATATTATTTGAATATACTATTGTGGAGAAAATAACTTTGAAGGTTTGCAGGGAACAATTATTGGAGTTTGCATCTCAACATTTATATGTATAGTCGTATCTCTTTGGTTTCGCAACATCAATGTTCCGCTGAATTTTTTAACAATATTATTGTTTTGCAACATCGATGTATCGCAAAATTTATTTAACTCAACTTTAACATCAAATATCTCAATATTTATGTATCGCACCATAAAGGTATCACAACCTTTTTTGTTTCGCAACATCGATATAATTCAGCATTTTTGTTTCGCAACATCAATGCATCACAACATTTTTTGTTTCTGAACATCAATGTATCTCATCATTTTTCAAAATTTGAAAATTATGTCAAAATTTTCGTATCTCAACATTTATGTATCACAAGATTTCTCGTTTTACAAGATCAATGTATTTCAACATTTTTGTTTCGCAACATCAATGTATCTCAACATTTTTGTTTCGCTACGTCAATGCATCACAACATTTTTCAAAATTTCAAAATAATTGTAAAATTTTCGTATTTCAAAATTTTTGTCTTACAACATTTATGTATCACAACACTTCTCGTTTACAACATTTTTGTTCCGCAACATTTCTTCAAATTTCTAAAACATGTTTTTTTTTTTTAAAAAATTCAAGGTCACATACATTTTTACTATAGTTTTTTCAAATTCGATATGTTTATGGTACTTAATTGTATTGATATTTTTTTATGACAACCCATTTTCTGCTTTCTCCTCGAATAAATAATTTTTATAAGTATTTGACAAATTAATTTTTTTTAGTTTTGCCAAAATTCATAACTGATAAACAAACGTAATTTAATAAAGTAAGAACTGCACATTATTCACCGGGCACAATCATAAAAAGCAAAATAATAAAAATAAAAATAGTAATAATAATAGATATCAATTAGATTAGATATTATTTTTTGTGTTATTTCACCATGCCATTGCTGGGCATAAATAACAAAAGAATACTTTTTCACATTTTGATTAGACATGAATAAACATGTGTGTGAGTCAGTCATTAAGTGCATAAATCACACATGTAGTTCCAACTTTTAAACATCATGCCAAATGCTTACAAGTTTACATTTCCGAACTTGCTAAAGTGTGTATGTAATTGTATGTGTATTAGTGTTGGAATGCGCCTGGTGTGAATAATACCGTTGTGCGATTTTTTATTTAACTAAGCAGCCAGCCACTTTGTCTGCGGTTAATTTTCCCTTGAATTGTGTGTAGTAATTCGCCAAAACGCTAAATACTAACTACATATGTATGTTTGTATAAAATATATATACAAATACATATGTAATCATAATGACAGTAATTGATTAAGGTAAAAAAAAGGTAGACGCGATGTCAGGACAATTCTTTACAATTTATTTTATTTGCATATGAGTAACTGCGGTTGGCTGCTTATTTGGAAATTCATTGAAACAAGTTTTCTCAACGCCAATTTAATTGGTTGGAAACGTTTTTTGTGCTTTCGCTATGTTTCTGTTCTGATGATGAAACAACGTGCTTCACTCACGTTCATAACTCAACAAGTTTTCTTATTTCGCAATTTTTATTGTTGCTTTTGATTTTGTTGTAATATAAATGTACATGTTGTGCCGTAACCATTTATAAAATTGTTTATTGTTTTGGTAACTTGTTATCGAAATGTGAGAAAAATTTATCGCGGTAAAAAAAATATTTTCAGAAACCAAGCTCACTTATATAGAACATTACAGCTTTTTACATATTATATATTAAGTTTATTTCAAAAAAGGGATCGCCATTTATATAATATGTTTTAGGAGTTACATAATCGATAACAATCGATCAAAAACCAATTTCACCCATAACTTTACAGCTTTTTACAATTACTAAGCTAGTTTGAAGAATGTGCCTATCATGTCTATGTTTTGGAACTTTTTCCCGATACTTAATCGATAAAAATCATATTTGGTTGGTTTTTCGACGAAATAAAATTTCCATATTATTTAAACATTCGAATATCAAGATTTTAACTAAATTGTTAATTTAATAATTTCTTCTATATTTTCAGCGTTTCAAATAAACTAATCGTGTTTTCTTCCCTAATATTTCCTGTTTTAAGGTCTTATACTTATAATAGTCTAATATTAGTGTGTATTAAAAAAATTTTATATTTCATAAAGCTTTCATTTTAAGATTTCACTGTTTAATCCACCGTTACTTGTTGTTTTTAGAAAAGTGTCACTTATGCTTGACTTTTAATTGAATTTTTTTTTATTCTATACTATTTTATATTTAAAGCTTTCATGTGTCAAAAGCTTTTATTTTAAGCTTTCACTATTACATTGTGGGTAATAAAAAGTACATGTCTTACAATGAAATAAATTAAAACTCTCAATTTACACATTTTCGTAACAAATTAATATTTTTGAGGTATAAAAAGCTTTTATTTTCACTTGAAATTTTTTGAACGAAATAAGGAGTTTTAACAAATAGCAAATAAGTGAAGAAAAGCTGTCACATTTCACCTATACCTTTTTTTTTTAGCAAAAACAGCATATAGCAATAGCAATCTGGAAAGCTTTCACTTCATAAATAATGAAAAGCTGTCTGCATAAATGTCTTTAGAATTTACTTAACGGCATATAGCAATACCGATCTTGAGAGCTTTCACTTTTAAGCTTCGATCATAAATTATAAAAAGCTTTTTGCCTTGAAAGCTTTAAAACATTGCTTAACAGCATATAGCAATACCGATCTTGAAAGCTTTAAACTTTACTCAATAGAGTATAACGGTAACGATATTAAAAGTTTTCACTTATAACTTGCGACAATTAGTAATAAAAAGCTTTCTGCCTTGAAAGCTTTTACATTTTACTGAAAAGCCTTTATAAATATCATTTGTTTGCTTATGTAAGACTATATCATATATATAAAAAAATTTCCATATATGAAACAAAAATGTTTGAATTCCTAACACTACATAAATTATGACTTATATAACACTGCGGACTACCAACCTAGCGCTAATTAATTGTTTGCTGGTTATAAATATTAAAAATATGCAATACATACAAACGCATTTACACACATACATACAAACACACATATTCGTGTTATATTAAGTAATATCTGTCATTTGAATATTTTTATGGCATTTAAGGTGCTTTTTGTTATGGTTTGGGGGAATTTCCGAAACTCAACACATGTTGGCGCTTGATTTATGAACGAATGCGACTTCTTGTCGCAAAAAAAAACGAAATCAGGTGTATTTGTATTCATATGTTTGTTTATACAAAATATGTGCGTCTATTTAAAGTTTTTTTATTGCATTACAAGTTTATTAAAAGTTGAGCTGGGCGTGTGTTTTTTTTACTGGCTTTATGCATATTTTAATATTTTACGAACATTTTTTCGAATTTTAATATAATCGATTTTTGAGTTAAGGTCCTACGTTGAGCTCAATTTTTTTTATTCCTACAATGCTAAAAAAAAATACAGTCTATGTTTAAACAGCTTTTATATAAAAGTAGCGGATTGTTCTTAAAAACTGAGCAATATTCACATCAGCATGAGCAACCAGCTAAGTGATCAAATAAGTGCTTAACTATTTAAAACTTTTATTGTTGCTTTTTTATGTACCGATTGTGAACTAGACAGATGGATTGTTGAAATAATCACCTAGGTATGTATTTCAGAATAGATATACATACATATATGTATATGTATATAAACAAAAATATATATCTATATTACACAATTGAAGTGTTAAAAATTGCACTTAGTTGTCAAACACACGAATAATTTATGGCCAAATAATAATTAAAACAATAAGTGAGTGCATTTCAAGTAGCACAATAAGTGCATAAAAATGTGTAGTAAAAGAGAACAACAAAAACAAGTAATAATAAAGTAAAACGACGTCTTGCGAGTCATTTAATTGCTCTACTGTTACTGATAATGTGAGCACTGACGTCAGAAGAAGTCAAGTGATTGACAAAGCAGCGAGACAAAAACGACAAACATACGAACGCAAAATAAAAATAATAATAATAATAAAAGTAATTAAGAAAAATAAAGGAAAAATATGCAACTGATTATGAAATTGCTTCAATAAAATCCGAAAAAAATCATATAGAATTAAAAAAAATATATATATATTATTTTCGAAACCAAAAAAGGAGATTTTGAATTGTTTTTCGAAATTTTTAGTATAACAACAGAGTTTTTTAAATTAAAGCTTACTGAAATGGAAATTTCATTCTCTGTAGAATATATATGTATATTGGGAATCAACTCAACACTTCCTTCTCGAATGTCTCGCTTTTGCCAGATCAAGGCTAAAACAGCTCGGATCTCATACTTTTTGACATCCAAGTGAAATAGCGGAAATAGAAATAAAGCACCAAAGCAGATTTGTGATTGGTTCATATCGCTACAGTAGTTTTTAGCTGGCTGTTCATAGTCTGAGTGTGATCTTCAGCCATTTAACCTAAGCTAACCTAATATGTATTTGGCACTAGTTTGCTTCGCATTAAAAATTCGACTGACAGTTACTTAGGAGTCAAGAAAAAATATAACATCAATTGAAACATTATACCCACCATTCATTTTGGAAACCCCACAAGTACGTTTTACCAATTCTCATAAAAAAGTATCTATATGCAGATTTATAAAAATTACGAAGAGTCACTAGTATTAAGTAAATGTGTACTAAGACACATTAGGGGCCTACCGAAGTGCTGAATGGCAATATGTGCTGATAAGGGGCAGTATGTAACAAGCAAATATTAATTACAATCCATATACATATGTTTACACTAAATTGATAAGCATATACTTAAAAAAAACAGTTGCA